TTCTGGAGAATGTTCCATGTGCACTCAAAAAGAATGTGTATTCTTCCGTTTTAGGATGAAATGCTCTGAATATATCTGCTAAGTCCATCTCGTCCTGTGTGTCATTCAAAGCCATTATTTCATGGTTTATTTTCTGCTTAGGTGATCTTTCCATTGTTGTAAGTGGGATGTTAAAGTCCCTTATTATTATTGTATTATTATCAGTGAGTTTCCTTTTGTTATTGATTGATTTATATGTTTGGCTGCTTTCAAGTTGGAGGCATAATATTTACAATTGTTAGGTCTTCTTGATGGATAGACCCCTTAATTATGGTACAATTCCCTTCTTCATCTCTTGTCACAGTCTTTGTTTTAAAATCTAGTTTGTTTGATATAAGTATGGCTACTCTGGGTTTATTTTGGCAGCCATTACCATGATAGATGGTTCTCTATCTCACTTTTGACATGCAGGTGTGTTTAGGTCTAAAATAGGTCTTTTGTAGGCAGCATATTGATGGATCTTGTTTTTTTTTTCCTCCATTCTGATACCCTATATCTTTTGATTGAAGCATTTAGTCCATTTACATTCAGAGTGATTATTTAAAGGTATGAATTTAGTGCCATTATATTACCTGTAGAGTTGGCGTTTCTGGTGATGCTCTCTGGTTCTTTCTAGCCTTTGTTGCTTTTCATCTTTTTTTTTTTACCCCCCCTTAAAATTTCGTGTAGGGTTGGTTTAGTGGTCACAAACTCCTTTAGTTTTTGTTTGGGAAACTCTTGATCTCTCCTTCTATTTTGAATGACAACCTTGTTGGAGAGTATTCCTGGCTGCATATTTTTTCCATTCTGCATATTGAATATATCTTGCCTCCTTTCTCACTTGCCAAGTTTCTTTGGACAGATCTGCTGTGAACCTGATCTGTCTTCCCTTATAAGTTTAAGGACTTTCTTTCCACTTTCTGCTTTCAGGATTCTTTCCTTGTCTGTGTATTTTGTGAAGTTGACTATGATATGTCTGGGTAATGTCCAGCTTTTGTTGAATTTAATGGGAGTTCTCTGTGCTTCTTGGATTTTGATGTCTATGTCCTTCCCCAGATTAGGGAAGTTTTCAGCTGTAATTTGCTCACATAAAACCTCTGCCTCTCCTCTTTCTTCATCTTCTGGGACTCCTATGATATTAATGTTTTTATGTCTTAATAAAATCACTGAATTCCAAGTCTGCCTTCATGATCCCTGACCTTTGTTTCCCTCTTTTCAGCTTTATTATATTTCATAATTTTATCTTCTATATCGCTAATTCGCTCCTCTGCCTCATCCATCCTCGTTTTTATGGCCTCCATATGGGTTTGCATTTTGGTTATAGCATTTTTCATTTTGGCCTGACTAGATTTCAGTTCTTTTATCTTTGCAGAAAGGGATTCTCTTGTGTTTTCTATGCTTTTTTCAAGCCCAGCTCGTATCCTTATAATTGTTGTTTTAAATTCTGGTTCAGACATCTTACTTATATCTGCATTGACTAAATCCCTGGCTGTCATTTCTTCCTGCTCTTTCTTTTGAGGTGAATTCCTCTATCTTGTCACTTTTAAGGAAGAAAAACACAATAAAAATAATAATGAAATGAAATAAAAATTTAAAAATTAAAAAAAATCAGATAAAGGAAGTTAGATGCTAAGCATGTTTTGCTCTGCTTTGATCTGTTTAAGAGAAGCTTGGTAGAAAAAAAAAAAGAAGAGAGAAAAAAGATTTAAAATTTTTAAAGTAAAAAATAATAAAATAAATTAAAGATCAAATAAGATAAAAAATGTTGCTTGTTCTGTATCCAAAAACAAAAGAAAAGAAAAACAACAAAAAAAACAGAAGCAACAACAAAACAAATGAACAAGCAAACAAAAAAACCCACATGAAGGTAGATCCAGTTTCCCCTAGAGCTGAAACTTTGCAGCAGTCTATGGTCAGTAGACTAAGTCCTTGGAAAGGATTTGTGCTGGTCTTATGGGGGGAGGGACCTGCTGTTCTGATTCTTAGGCCCACTTGCCCTAGTGGAGATGTGCCTGAGTGTGCAGGTGGTCAGGGCTTTGGTATGTTATCTCTATTCTCCACTTGGTGGCGCTGTTTAGCCCACTGAGGTTGATCAGTGTTGGTGGGCTAATGGTGAAAATGGTTTCATCCCTCTCTCAAGTCTCCGGAATGGGAAGTTCGTGCCCTTGTAGGCACACTATCAGTCACCTCTGATACCTCCTGTGTCCCTGGCTTCCATCAGCTCCCCATCTCCCTCTTATCTGTGTCCAAGCTGTCTGCCTACCAGGCTGTGCCCCTCTCCAGAGTTTTATCTCAGGTGTGGCTGTGTTTCAAAATCCCACACCTCACAGATCCCCGCTGTTCCAACCCACGGTCTCTGCACACTGTGGCCAGTGCACACTGTGGCCAGCTTGTCCCAGAAATGGTCGTGCTACCACACAGTGGCAGCTGCTCAGAGTTTATGGTAAATTGCAACACACAACCGGCTCCAGGGTTTGTTGCCCTCAGCTGGTGTCTTTGTTCCTATAGAGGTGAACATGACATGGCAGCTTGATGACATGCCCGCTGGGTCTTTTGCCAGAGGAGAGGCCGTATCACCTCTATCAAATGCAGTCCAAGCAGGTGAACCGCTTCTCTCTGTGTCACCCAGGGGATCCTCAGACCATGCTGTCCGCTGCCGGTGCTCTGCCCTCCTTCCTCGCTAGAGCACCACTAGGGGCTGGGCTCTGAAACTTCAGACTTTGTGCTCCACTGTTTACAAAAAGCTGGCAGTTTTGAAACCCTCTCCCTTTTCCCCTGTCAATGGTTTTGGGGAACTGTTTTCTTATGCAGTCTCCTGTGTGTGTCTTCACTCTTTCTCTCTAGCTGGTTTCAGGGGCAGTGCTTTCTTGTGCAAACCTGATGCCCTGCTCAATCTCCCCCTCTCTCTTTCTCCTTTCCATGAAAATGGCTCCCTCCTCTGTGGCACCGGCCTCTTCTCTCCCCCAATTCACCTCTCCGCACCATGTACCTGCTGCATTCTCTCCCTCAGATTATGGATTGTTCTGCTAATCCCCAGATCGATTTCCTAGGTGTTCAAAATGGTTTGATGTTGATCTAGGTATGTTCCAGGGACGAGACAAGCCCAGGGTCCCCTTACTACTCTGCCATCTTAACTCTTCCTCCTGGTGTTTTTTTTTCTTTTATGCTTTTTTGTGCTTCTACAATAACCATGCATTCCTTTTTGTATTAATCTTACAATAAGAAAAATATAAACTTTTTGATGTTCTAGAGCCCTTTTCTGACTAATTTATCTCCAGTCAGTAATGAATTTCCCTTCTGGATAATTCTGCAACTCTTCCACTTTGCAACAAATCTGTAAACTTCTCAGATGGTTTCCTTTTGCACTTCTTCATCCCTGCACCATATTTATTTTATGTAACCCCTACAGACCTGGTTTCCTGGATTTACTGCCATCTTCCATGGTAAACTCTTGATGTCAGTATGTTTAAACCTTGTTTCTTCTCTGATAAGCTTTTTACCTTTACAGGAAAGTAATTGATTGCATTACCATATATGACAAATTCAGAATGGTTTGTGGTTTTCCACTCACATCTTACAGGTTTTCTCCTGTTTGTGGGTACTGTGAATTTAGTATCATTAAATTAAGTTAGTTTTCTCTAGATAATTTTTTGATCTTTTTGAATCTCAACCATGTCTTTGCTTGAAAATTCACTCATCTTTCATTCTTGTTCAATTGCAGGGGGAGAGAGGGTTTCCAGGTTTGGAAGGCCATCCAGGTTTGCCTGGATTTCCAGGTCCAGAAGGGCCTCCAGGGCCTCGGGGACAAAAGGTATGTACCAGGTTGCCATCCAGTAATACTAGAGGCATTAAGTCATCTTAAATGTGGGACTAGGTATCAAGTCAACTAAAAATATATCTAAATAAAATAATAGGATAGCTGAGAGTCTAAATTTTGTTGTTGGTTTAAAAAACTGAATATTACTGTCATATTCAAATGGTTTTGGAAGATGCTGCTAATTGTATGTAGTTATTGGTATCCTTAACAAAAACTGAATTTTGTCAGGAGCTCAGCTGAGCTGGAGAGAGCTAAGCTGCCAGGTGTCAGAGTAGCTGATTAAGGCAACAAGCCAAAATGAAAGGAATAGTCAAACCTTTTACTGTGACAGTGTAATAAACAAAATGTTTAACTAGAAAAAGCACCAACTTCCCCCACTGTCCTATTTTTCCCCATGGAACTGTACCAGTGAGGATCTCGCCTTGGACGGCCAAGAGGAAGTTGAGGGCTGTGTTGAGGCTAGTCTGTTCTGCTTCCAAAACTGAAGTAGTGTCATTGATGAGTTAAATAATGGTCAAAGACAGGTTGTACATAACTTGCTGTAATTGAATGACCCTGAGTAGGAAAATTTGCCTGGAGCATACACATGAATAGAATCAATACCACCATGTGACAGTTCTCCTCACTAACCAGAACACCTGGTTTTGGAATTCCCCTCTTACTCTGTTTAGTTTGATATGCTCAATAGGAGAGACTGTCTTGAATATTTGGCAGTCTGTTATCAATTCCCTGTAGGTACGTGTTACATTGGTAGGAATGTTGAAGGCCAGGCTTTTACCAAATAATAATACCCCAAGGGAGACACACACACAGTGCTGGTAGTATAAAAGCCGTTGATTGCCATGGGAGTCAGCCAGCCCAAAGTTCCTTCTGGTGGGTAGGGTACTTAAGTGGAATTGGAAAATTTGTGTCAGGTGGGCACAGGTATAGGGGAGGAGGAAACCACCACTATGGAGGTCAAAATAGCCCTAGTGGCAGATCTCATTTCCCTTTTCCCAGATGCTTCAGTTAATCCCATCTCAGACAGAAGAAATTTGACACGTGAGGAGGCATTTTGTTTCTGTAGTGTCAGAGTCCAACTGTGGCAACACATCAGGTCCACTGTGATACGGTTGGGGTATCTGAGGTACTAAAATGTTTCATGTTTAGAGACATGTCCATTTGTTGTATTCAGTGGCACAGCAGTAAGGTGTTTACCTATAGGGTTGGACGGTGGGTGACATATTCAGCAGTTTGTCAAATTCAGAGTCGTGGCAACTACCTGGGACAGGTATATCAGTGACTTTGGTGAGGTAGATGTCACATAGGCTGTTCTGTGGGAGAGAAAGATGAAAGGATAGGTTCATACACCCTTTCTTTCCTATGTGCAGGCTCATGGATCCAAAGGTACTGTTTTCCTATCAGTTAGGAAGACTTTTCCCCATTGACTGCTGCGTAGGCAATCTCTCCTATACCATAAGCAAGGATATCACCCTATGTGCATGTTACGATAGGGAATCAAAGAGATAATAGTGAATGCTAAGATTGGGAGAAGTTTCTGGGTTTTCTAAAAATAGTTCTTTTGGTTGATTGCCCTTTACCATCTATATTACGTAGACCGGTGAACTGACCATGAAAGGGGCCAGTTCTGTTTTTTGCCTGGAAATGAAAAGTACTTTAAAAACCTTTTTTTTCCCTAATTTTATTTCATCTAATAGTGGTACATTATGTCATTAGAGTATTAAGGAGATCAAATGGATACTCATCAAGTAGTCTTTCCAATAAAGGAGGAAATTAATTTAAATACATAAATACTCGTAAACACTTAACTGTATCAGAGCATAGATTGTGGGGGTGTGCTTGGGCATGATCTCTGAGGAAGTGACAGTATATCAAGGTAGTCTTGTTAGATTCAAGAGCAGAAGGGACCTGCACTAAATTTTCTGAGTAGAACTTTACACTAAGGAAAAAGCAAGACTCTAAATGACTGCCTAGAAGTTAAGTAGATGGGGCACTTAACAGAATTTCTTATGTCTAATGAAGTGCAAACACAGCACATTATTTCTTGTGCACCCAGAAGTGGCACAGAAGTAGCAGCTGGATCTGAAAGAGTCAAGTGGATGGAACTGAGCACTAACTCAGCAGTAATCCATGCGTCCTACTGGCGTGGGACATCTCAATGAATTCTAGCTTGGACTGGTCTATCTCATTCCTCAACATCTCAGAACTCCTTAAGCTCTCCATAATTTAGACACAGCCTTATAAAAATGAGATGGGGATTTCAAGCAACTGAGATTAAATTTCAGTCATGTTAGTGAAGTGTTCAGTCATGTTAGCTTTGAAATAGAAATTACTTTGAACCATAATAAAATAAATATACATTTCTTGCACCTGAGTTTACCCAGGTGAATTATGGGCTGAATTTCTTGTGCACCATGCTTGCTGAAAGGTGGCACTTTTAATAAAGATTTGTGGCAGATTAAAAAAAGTTAACTACCGGGGCGCCTGGGTGGCGCAGTCGGTTAAGCGTCCGACTTCAGCCAGGTCACGATCTCGCGCTCCGTGAGTTCGAGCCCCGCGTCAGGCTCTGGGCTGATGGCTCAGAGCCTGGAGCCTGTTTCCGATTCTGTGTCTCCCTCTCTCTCTGCCCCTCCCCGGTTCATGCTCTGTCTCTCTCTGTCCCAAAAATAAATAAAAAAAAAAACGTTGAAAAAAAAAATTAAAAAAAAAAAGTTAACTACCTTAGAATCCCTTTGAAATAATTTAGCATTAACTAGAACTATTGTACATTAGTATGACAGCTTTTAATGGTGTGATTGTATGCATTTTAGATTTAGAAATTAGTCCAGTCTTTTGCTGTGGTTCCATTTCAGTATCTGTACAATGAAAAGGTTGGACTACTTTCTAAAGTTTTGGGATTCTAAATTTGAAGAGCTTTGTACCTCTATCTCCAGTCTCATTTCGTGCTTCCCAATGTAGCTGAATTTATACTTTATAATTTTTATGTGATTGGGTGTTCTAGTACATGCATTTATGTTGGCATATATGCTCAGTCAAAAATTTGGTAGGATTGTTTTTTAATATGTATATTCTTTTTTAAATTTTTTAACATTTATTAATTTTTGAGAGAAAGAGAGACAGCCCAAGTGGAGGAGGGGCAGAGAAAGAGGGAGACACAGAATCTGAAGCAGGCTTCAGGCTCTGAGCTGTCAGCACAGAGCCTGACGTGGGTGTTGAACCCACAAACTGTGAGATCATGACCTGAGCCGAAGTCAGACACTTAACCAAATGAGCCACCAAGGCTTCCCAATATATATTCTTATATATGAAAGTAAAGATATATAAAACAAATACATGTATAGATTGTATATATAAAAATTTACAAAGGATTTCTTTATTCTTAAAAATTAAATTAAATTAATTTTTGATAATATATTCACTTACACAAAATAAATAAACATAGGAAAGTACATTGTGAAAAAGATTTCCTTTCCACCTGTATCCATTAGCCACTGACTTCTACATATCCCTAACAGATACTAATTTCTAGTACTTTCTTGTGAATATCCTCAATAATTTTTATGGATATTCACACAGATACAAATATATACATGCACATACCTGCTTATATACACACAGACGCACTTTTACCTACGTTTGTTTATAAACTGGTAGCATATTAAACATGTTTGGCCTTTGTTTTTCACTTAATATATATTGTAGACATCTCATGTCAGTACACACAGAATTTCCTCATTATCTTTTATAACTGGATTGTATTCCACTGCATGTATAAACCATAATTTATTAAGCCAGTCCCCTACTGATGATTAGTTAAATAATTTTCAGTTTTTTGCCACTACAAACAGTGCTGCTAAGATGTATAATTTTAATAGACTTCCTTTCCCCAATAGGGGATTATCTCTGTAAGATTACCATAAGGAGGGTACGTTTTTATGTATTTTTATGGATATTGCCAAATTGCCCCCCAAGAAGTTATATGATTTATCCTTGGTTTGGCAATATACAGGAAGATCAATTTCCCTATAGTTTCACCAACCCTATTATGAGACTTGACTTTTTGTCAATCTGATAGATGAAAATGGTCTTTCAATGCTTTTAGATTGCATTTCTCTTATTAAGAGTGAGATTAAGGATCTTTTCATAGGTATAAGAATCATTTGTGTTTTCTGTGAACTGTCTTCATATCATTTGCCCATTTTTCTACTGTATTATTGGTAATTTTATATGTTAATGAGCTATTTATACATTAGGGAGATTACCCTTGGTCTGTGTTGTGAGTTGCAGTTATTTCCCCTAGGTGGTCATGTCTTTGCTGAGTATGTGCGTGTGTGTGTATATTTTTGTATATCTGTGTTTTTCAGGGATCCTTTATGGCTTTTGAATTTTGAGTAGGAAATGCCTTCCCCACTGTAAGATTATAAAATAATTTTCGCATGTTTTATCCAAGTATATTAATAGTTTCATTTCATGTAAATATTTTATCTATTTCTAATTCATCCTGGTGTGCGGTTTGTGATGTAAGTTCCATGTTTATTTTTTTACAAATGTCCTCACAAGTATGTCCCAATGTAAACTTCCCCATTGATTTGCAGTGCCACTTTCATTATAAACCAAAATCATGTGAATATACGCACTTGTTTTAGACCTTCCATACTCTTCCAATGATATGTTTATTCAAATGTCAGAACCAAACTATTTTAATTATTGATGTATTATGCTGTATTTTTGTATCTGACAGCACTAGCGTCCCCTTACTGCTCTTTTTTTCCCCAGAATTTTCCTGAATGTTCTTGCTTATTTATTTTTCCATATGAACTTTAGAGTCACCTTATCTAGTTGTCTTTTCAAAACTCATGTTATTTCTGTTTATTGTGTCAAATTTTAACTAAATTTATTGAGAATTGATCATTTTTTATGTTGACTCCTATTATCCAAGAACATGGAATGCCTTTCCATTTGTTCTTATTTCCCATTTTGAACTTCAGAAACGTTTTAACCTTTTCTTCTTATGAATCTTGCACATCTCTTAAGTTTATCCCCAAATATTTTATCCTGCTTTTGCTACTGTAAACTGTATATTTTATTCCATTATGTTTTCTAACTGGTAGTTGGTATATAAGAAAGCTATTTATTTTCTCATATTGATTTTGTGTACAGTTATCTTCCTGAGTTACCTTATTGATTATAGTGGTTTTCATGTAATTTTCTTGGGTTTCCACTCATACAATCATTTATTTGCTTTTAGTGGTAGTTTTGCCTCATCCTTTCCAATTTTTGTACCTCTATTATCTGTCTCTTATTTAACCATGTTGGTTAGTACAACCAGTACAACATTAAGGAAGCTTTGTCTTATACCTGCCTTTTGTGGAAAGACCCAAAAAGATTCATTAAGCAGTCTTCTCCTTGTTTTAAAATAGAATTGGATTGAGGAGGGCACCTGTTGGGATGATCACTGGGTGTTGTATGGAAACCAATTTCACAATAAATTTAATATTTAAAAAAAATAAAATAAAATAAAATACAATTGGATTTACTTTAATCTCCTTAGAGATGAGTCTGTTGTGGAAAGAGATTATTAAACTTTTTAAAAAGTTAAGGATAGGAGACAGAATAATGCCCATCCCCTAATTGATGTACATGACCTGATCCTCAGGATTTGTGAATATGTTAGTTTATATAGACAAGCAAAATTAAGATTGCAGATGAAGTTAAATTTGCTTATCAGCTGCTCTTCAACCACAGAGATTATTCTGGATTATCTAGGTGGGCCCAGTATAATCACAAGAGTCCTTTAAATGTGGAAGAGGGAGGCAGAAGAATCAGTGTAGGAGTGATGCAGTGTTAGAAAGATTCATTCAACCATAGCTGGCTTTGAAGATTGAAGAGCTGAGGAAGGCTGGCTGTTCTAGAAGCTGGAAGAAATGAAATGGATGTATCCTCCTAGAACCTCCAGAAAGCAACAGTGTTCTGCCACCGAGACCACTGTCATACTTCTGACTTCCAGAACAGTAAGGTTGTGTTGGTTTAAGCCACTAAGTTTGTAGTAATTTATAAAAACAGCATAAGAAGCTAATATACCAGGTAACCCTTTTCCCAAATGAAGCTTTTCCTGGAAGCCCCACATAAAACATAAAAACAAAGCTGCGCTGATTGAAAGCGGGTAGTGACATAAGCATCAAGGAACCCCCAGTGGAGCCTCTAAGGTTGTGAGTTGTGTGATTTAGAAACCACTTGTGTAAAGCAAGATGTCTCAGTTTAATAAAATTTGTCTAAACGCTTCAGGTGGTGGCCTACTAGCTTATATGTTCCACTGAAATTCCCATCTTTTGGAGCAGAATTGGGTTTTCTTTATTCTAAAAAACTAGTTAATAAAAACTTAGTGAAACAAAACCTCAAATTCTCAGCAATGCAATTGTAACTAGAAATGGGTAAATAGATTAACACACATGTGGTCAGCCTCTTTTGTTTACAGTCAATAGAAGAAGCTAGAAAGGAGTGTCTGGTTTGTTCTTGTTCTTTCCTAAGCTCTTCCTGTAGAAAGTGCCTTATAAAACAAAGCAAAGGTTTAGAACAGCAAACTCAAGAGCAGCACGTACTTAGGCTCAGATGATGTCATTTATTACCAGCATGGCAGCAGATTGACATAATATAGAAACTGCCTGGGGCGCCTGGGTGGCTCAGTTGGTTGAGTGGTTGAGCATCTGACTTTGGCTCAGTTCATGATCTCAGGGTTCATGCGTTGGAGCCCTGCATCAGGCTCTCCACTATCAGCGCAGATCCCACTTGGGATCCTCTGTCCTCCTCTCTCTCTGCCCCTTCCCCGCTTGCACTCTCTTTCTCCCAAATATAAAACATTAAAAGAAGATATAATAAAATTTTAAAAATAATGTTTAAAAAATATATAGAAAATGCCCAGATTTTCAGCTTGTATTTTCCTTATGCATAAATGATTTGAGGAGTATCACTACCACTACATCTTTGTCTTGTATGATTTTCATAATTAATTTTACAGGTCAGGTACAAAGTTTCTACTACATATCAGCAGTTTTCTTAGTAAATAAAGACCTTTCTTACTTTTTTATAGATTTTTTATTGTTTTATTTTTATTTTTGAGAGAGAGACAGAATGCAAATAGGGGAGGGTCAGAAAGAGAGGAAGACACAGAATCCAAAGCAGGCTCCAGGCTCCAAGCTGTCAGCACAGAGCCCAACGCGAGGCTTGAACTCACAAGCTGTGAGATCATGACCCCAGCTGAAGTCAGAAGCACAACCAACTGATCCACCCAGACACCCCAAGACCTTTCTTATTTTCTATATGATAAAAAATAAGGTGCTTTCAGTCTCAATAATAAATGCTTCTTCCTTGGGTAAGTAAGTTTCTCATTTTCACAAAGATTCACAAAAATTTAAGTCTCTTATTGTCATAATCTAAAATTAGTTATTTGAGGGTTATTTTTGGAGGAACAAGAACTAAATCTGTTGTATTTTTCAGGGTGATGATGGAATTCCAGGGCCACCAGGACCAAAAGGGATCAGAGTAAGTGATATTGGCTGTATATCAAATGTTTTGTTGGTCAAGACAGAGAAAAAGCAAACGAAGTGTTATGAGACAACTGGAAAAGATTCCTATTAAAATGAAAAAAGAAATAGTTTTTAAAAAGTTAAAGGTAAGAATTGGCATATGCCTACAATTAGCCTTTCTTTATTATTTTGGCAGTTATCTATATATCCAGGTGTCTATTTAAACTAATGTACCAAAATTTTAAATTACTTTATGTGGACAAGAAATACAAAAGTGCTAAATCCTAGCAATTTGTCAATTTATTAAAAATATGTATATCTTACAACTGACTTAAACATAACTTCCCAACCTTGTGATCATCTCAGTCCTCTGGGTTCAGAGGGCCAATCACTGCAGGTTGTATATCCTTCCCAGTGTACTATGTACAAATATTATAACTTTCTTTGTGTATCTTGAAGACTGTCAGTTTGGGAAGCACTAATTTAAACCACTGTGTTAAAAAAAATAACTACTTTGGGGGCACCTGGGTGGCTTGGTCGGTTAAGTGTCGAACTCTTGGTTTTGGCTCAGGTCGTGATCTCACAGTTTGTGAGTTTGAGCCCCGTCTTGGGCTCTGTGCTAAGAGTGTGGAGCCTCAATATTCTCTCTCCCTCTCTCTGCCCTTCCCCTGCTTGCTTTCTCTGTCTCTCTGAAAATAAATCAATAAGCTTAAAAGAAAACTACTTTGGAAGTATACAATGTTTTCTCAATTCTAAGATGTATACTTTTTCATTTTAATGTTCTGAAAATCAGGATGTGTCTCAAAATGGAAGTACACATTTAATGTAATTTTTCTGAAAAGCTTTCAGGTAGAAATATATCTTTCAGTGTGTTTTAGAGCTGGGAGGAAACTATAGTTCAAAAATAGTCCTGGCTTTTGGAAAATCATACTTAACTTTTCTGAGCCTCAGTTTCTCATTTGTTAAATTAGAGAGTCAAAGATGCCTTTTAGCTCTAAAATTCTGTGTTCATAGATTGATGAGTATACTTATACAAGTATAAAGTACATGGGTGATGACATAGCATGTCTGTTTATGTGACAAAGACAGTTAAAACATTCTGATCCCTTGATCTCCAAAAATTTAGTGGATGTACAAATTTTACGTAAACACTAAAACATCCTATTTGCTTTATACTTCTTAACAACATGTAGCTTACCTTATGTGCTACTCATGCCTGGTGTTTGTAAGGACCTGGAAAATCAGGGAAGAAACTCAAAACCCTTGATTTTATTAGCAGATGTGTTTCTGTGTTATTGTGTAATAAGTGGATAGCAATAGACTATTGAAGCTTTTCCTAAGAATCATAATATATCTCATAAATAACTACAGCTACCATTAACTATGTCATAAGCTCTTCTGAGACTCAAAAAAAAAAAAAAAAACTTGTCCATTCTCTCAATTCCCTTTGCAAGTGTCTAGGAGTGCCTGAGTAGTCCATGTCCCTCAACTAGAACTTCAGAAGTGCTTAGGAATAGGTAGCCTGATAGTTCCTGCATCCTTATGTCTCAGCTCAGAGGCAACTCTTGACATGCAAATTTTAAAAGATTTATTATTATGGAAATTTTTAAGCATACCCAAATGTACAGAGATTATAATACAATGAACCTCTATGTACCCATCACTCAGCTTCAAAAGTTAGCAACAGTTTGACAAATTTGTTTCATCTATCCCCCCCCCCCACACACACACTATTTTTTTGGAATATTTTTAGGTAAATCCCTCATATCAGCCATTCCACCAATGAATACATATTTCAATATGTTACTCCAACTGATAACCACATAACCGCTATAGTATTATTACACCTCAAAAGATTAGCAATAATTTTTCAAATATACTTGAAAACTCAGTCCTTATTCAGATTTCCTCAGTTGTCTCAAAGATGAATGTCTTTTTACAATTGGTTTGTTCAAGCTTCACATATTGCATTTGGTTTCTATGTTTCTTAAAACTCTTTTATTATGCTATTAGAGAAACTGGGTCATTTGTATTCTACTGCATTCTACATTCTTGTTTAATGTTTATTTTTGAGAGGGAGAGACACAGAGTGGGAGCGGGGGAGGGGCAGAGAGAAAGAGGGCAACGCAGAATCTGAAGCAGGCTCCAGACCACAAGCTGTCAGTGCAGAGCCCAACGTGGGACTTGAACCCATGAACTGTGAGATTGTGACCTGAGCCAAAGTTGGACGCTTAACCAGCTGAGCCACCCAGGCACCTACATTCTACATTCTTGATCTGACTGTTTCTTCATGATGTCATTTAAATTGTTCCTCTGTCCCCAATATTTCCTACAGACTGGAGGTTGCCTTGCAAGAGGCACTAACTAGAGAACTTTCTGGGGATATAGAAACAGCTGTGCACTTAAGATTTGTGCATTATACTATACATAAATTATACTGCAAAAAATTAAAGAAAACATAAAAAAGAATACTTTGTATGTAGTGCTGTGTATTTACTATTGAATTACATCTTCTTGCACAAATATCTGTTATCCCACTTTTTTTTTTATTAAGTTTGATCAGTGGTTCAGTATATGAGCCTGATTTTGCCACCAAAATTTCCCCATCAACTTTTGATCCAGTGGTTTAGTAGTCATTGATGATCTTTGCCTAGATCTACTTTTTTGTTCAGAGGTGCAAAATGGAGATTTTAAAAATTCTACGAATCTTTTATCAGCTAGAATTCTAATTTATCAGCTGGAATTGTAATGGGGCAATGAATTATTCTAATAGGGTAATGAGTTAGTACACCAGCAATTTTGAGTGATGGTCAGGAAGGTTTATAGAATTTGTTATCATTATAAACATGTGGAATTTATGTGGTTAAATCAATTTTACTCATTATTATTTTTGAAGCCAAAATTCTCCTATCTTTGGCCTGTGGGAGCCCCTTTAAGTCGGCTGGCCCCTCTCCTGTGTCCTGTTGACAAACTCTATTGACCTTTGGTAATTTCCTTGCTCTCTGACACAAGACTCTTCAGTCTCATTTTGTACATTTACTCTCCAAATCTGAAAGTGACCATATATCTGATTTTAGGTTCTTCTTTAGTGAAAGATGTGATTTAGATGCTACCATCTGGTGTTAGGGGTTTTCATGGTTACTGGTGGTCAGTTGATTTTATGTCTTTTCAGTTGACAAAATTAGGAAATATGTATTTTTTAAAGTGAAAAAATATCATGAGCTTATATTATTACTTCCAATTGAAATTTAAAATGAAAAGAGATCAGGGGCGCCTGGGTGGCTCAGTCGGTTAAGCGTCCGACTTCAGCTCAGGTCACGATCTCGCGGTCCGCGAGTTCGAGCCCTGCGTCGGGCTCTGGGCTGATGGCTCAGAGCCTGGAGCCTGCTTCCGATTCGGTGTCTCCCTCTCTCTCTGCCCCTCCCCGTTCATGCTGTGTCTCTCTCTGTCTCAAAAATAAATAAACGTTAAAAAAAAATAAAAATAAATAAAATGAAAAGAGATTTGTATACTTACTCTCCCTCACTTCACCACCTTTCCCTCCCTGTGATGAAAATCTTGTTTCCTAATAGCATTAATATAATTTGTTATTTTCTTTATCTTACAATATGCCTATGATAGCTTCAAAATAGCAATTTGCAAGTGAACAAAATAGCAATTTCAATTTTAATAGTAATAATAGAATTTTTAAATGCCATTAATTATTTCTTTGCTGTTCTTTTTTCCTCTTTGAATGGACTAATTTCACTAAGAAAGTGCAGTCAAAATATGTTTTAGAGGCACTTAAAGTAATTTTTTTCTTTGTATGGCTTATGTCAACAACTTGGTTTATATTAGGTTCACCAGTTTCAGTTTGTTTTCAATTTTTAATAATATTTTTACCTCTTCTAAATTTTTACCTTTAATTATTTAAAATATTTACATTGTTGTTTAACAGTGGTATAATCGGAGATGCTTCCCACCCATTCTTGCCATCCCCTAATTCTTTTTCCTCTTTCCCCCACAGGTAATCATTTTTACTATTTTTGGTATATCTTTTCATTGTTTTGTATCACCATCCTTCTCATAAAAATGTAGCATATTCTATACACTACTTATACTTCGTTTCTTTTACTTAATATTATGTCCTGGAGATAACTACACGTTTCAGTGTACATAGATTTTTCTCATTCTTTTTAAAAGCTGCATTGGCTAATGTGTGGACGTACCATAATTTATTTAGTTATGTCCCTATCGTTTCTAGTGTTTAGCTATAATTATGGTTATATGGTCATTTCCAAACTTCAGTTATAACAGTGTTGCAGTCAATAACCTTTCAATTCTGATTTTGTTTCCTAATTTCTAGTGTACCTTTGGATAGGTTTTTAGAAATGGGTTGCTTCAAAGGGTAAAAATGTGTAATTTTGCTAGATATTTCAAATTTCTCTCCGTGGTGTTTGAATCCCATTAGCTATGTATAAGAGTACCTTTTCCCAGAGCCTCACCTACAAAGAATATTGTCAAACTTGTATTTTTGCCAATTCTGACAAGTAAATTTGATTGAAGAATTTTTGGAGTGATCACATTGATATTCTCAGGAGCAGATATATTTGCCACTTACCCATCCCCTGCTAAATTCAGTATTCATCACCAACCTGGCAGAACTGCTTTATCTTTTAGAAAAGACATTTCTTCCACTAATTTGCCTGCTCCTGCTAAGTGCAGTGAAGACAATGCTCCCTCAAATAGGAGTTGCTTCTATAGTTTCCTATAAAAGAGACTTTTAAACATGTGTAGGAGCTTTTTTCTATAGCAAGAATGAATGCTAATAATCAATGAGACACATTTGTCCATTGCTATTCTAAATGTAATTTTTATAATTCCTTTGGGTAGAATATAATTTTACTCGTACTGATTGTTGTTTGGTTCAAGGAATTTATTTCTAATTATAGGGTCCTCCTGGACTTCCTGGATTTCCAGGGACACCAGGTCTTCCTGTAAGTAAAATTTGGCTTCTTAATTGAAGATCCCTTAAAAAGTAATCTAAAAGAAATATTATACATGTGTTATATCTCTTTTCAAAGGGAATGCCAGGCCACGATGGAGCCCCAGGACCTCAAGGTATCCCAGGATGCAATGGAACCAAGGTGAGATTTCTTCAACTTAATCTTAGGCAATATGCTTGATAAAAATAGATTTTAAAATTTGAAGAAATCAATATGAAGAATGTTGGCGATATAGTAGCTACAGGTCTAGAACATACATAGGATATGTTCTGAGTTAACATTTTCAATATATTAAAACATCAGTAATTCTTTAAACACGTGTATTCAGCTGTGATATTGCATTGGATTGAAAGTTATTTTATTGAATCCTGTTTTGACTTTAGTGTAAACTAGGGTGAGAGTTAAAAAGGAATTAGGATATATATGTTTCAAATATTACATCAGTTGTTAAGAGTAATACTTGTGAGTGTCATTCATTAGCTTTGCCTTTTTTAAAAACTAGGTACAATGTAAGTTCTCAAAAATTCATGTTTAAAACATTTTTTTGACCTTGCCTAATAACATCCCTAAGAAAAATCCTAAAAATCTACCTATAATACAGCACATCAATTTTTACTATAAACTATTAGTATGAAAACAGAAATTCTTCCCTGTCGGCAAAAATGATGAATTTAACAATTTAAAAAGAAAAATAAAACTTTACATATGATAAAACATTTTTTCATGACCATTTTTCTTGTGTTTCATCAACTGGTTGGGTTTATCATAAAGTGATAGAAAGGAAAAACAATGAGGAAAATTTGCTTTTTTGATAGTTTATATCTTATTCCCTTACTTTTTTCCTTTTCCTATATATTAATGCAATATGTTATTATTTTCTGTATATCCTTTCAGCATTTTCCATTCTGCACATGATACTTTATGGAACTGTTCATGAACTATCCTAGATTTTGTAGCTAATGGCATGTGTTAGATTTTATATAGGGTACATATTTAAAATAACTTGAACAAACTATTTTGTATCATGAAGGCTATATTTTGTGATAATTATTGTAGTATATACTTGAAGACAATAAAGTTATTTTTACCTCCAACTTTTCTTCAAATCATGTGACCCTTACCAACACTACCACCAACAATAACAACAATAACAATAATAATAGCCAATAATAATAATAATAATAATAATAATAATAACAACAACAATAATAAATTTTTTATTTTGGTTTGTGAGGCTTACTTGTGTTCTTCATTTCAGCTGGGACAAACTTACCTGCGTGGAGTTAGTTTGCATGGAACATTGCTGTTAAAATGGGCTACATTCTTGTGTCTATTCTGGTTATTTGTTTGCTTGCCAGCCTGCCTTGAGCAACAAACCACTAGCCAAAGTTGTAAATTTGAAGACCAATGTGTCAACAATGTATATAGCATGCCATATCATTAAAGGGATCTTTTTCTTTTTTTTGTAAAGCAGCATCTTAGCAGATGTCATGATTACTTTGTGTTTGAGGCCCCCAATTATGTGAGCAAAAAATGTTCTAGATGGATTCATTATGTATACTTTCAGATTAATATTTTTTAATATTCTTTACTATGTAACTAATAGAATGAGCTCTAGAGATGGAATCAGAATATATGGGTTCTTTGGTTTTCTGTCTTCTAAACTTGATAGGCAGGCCACTTCCTTTCTCTCTGGGCCAATTTTTTCCATATGTAAAAAGTGATGGAGAGAGGAGTACTGGACAATAACTCAAAGGCACAGAGCTGTAATAATTTTGCTCTTTTAAGCCTCTGACAAAGATGTCTCTAGGATTACCATGGCATGTAGGTATTAGAAAGGAGGTTGCATTGGGGTTCTTCTACAGCAATTTTAGCTTTTGTTTTCTAAACCAAATGTCTATATTACTACTTTACAATAGTGAGTGAGAAAAACTGGGTGCCTGGAAAACATAATGACCTGCAATTGCTAGAACTATTGCTATTATTGTCCTCTTGGTGATATTAATGGCATTCTCTCTTACCATCTTTTCCTCTTTACAAAAATAATTTGAAATAGTTTACAATAAAAGAATAATGCAATGGGGCAGTTAAAATAAGGATCTATATAATACATGGGCAGGAAATTGAGATAAATCATTAACTATTAAATGTGATGATGACCAGGAATCTGTGGTGTGATTGTCTCAAAATGGACTTGTCAGAAGAAAATGACTAGGGTAGAAGATCTTTTTCTTTATTTCTGATTGGGATTGATGAGTAGGGATAAAAGTATCTTAGAAGGTTGAATTGATATGGGCAGTTGACACTGAAGTAATTGGAAATGAATTTTTGGCAATCTGGCATGTTTCAAAATGCCTTTTAACCGAAATCTTTTTAGTAAGTCATTGTTTGTTGGTATAGTTATGTTTTGTTTCTTGTTCCTCCATTACTCTTTCTTTTTAACTCCTTCTAGGGAGAACGTGGATTTCCAGGCAGTCCCGGTTTTCCTGGTTTACAGGGTCCTCCAGTAAGTTATAAAATTTAGGATTATAATGAACACAGGAATTGACAGAAGAAGCAGAAGGGTAGAAAGTGAGCTCAGTGTGTTCATGTGGAGCAAAGTTAGTACATTTTAAACTAGTAAACTATAAGAAGATTTTTAGGAAAAAAAAGTTGGTAGTATAGCTCTGTGCTGGGTAAATGTAAGGATTCCATTATATTTCATATAAATGTCATCTCTAAGATACTTTGTACTTAGAATGACCCTACAGTAATCCACTCAACTGACTATTTGGAAAGTAGTATGTTCTTTTCCTCGATCCCCTCTCATATGTATAAAACAATCCTTTTCTTTTTAATAATAGGGACCTCCTGGGATCCCAGGTATGAAGGTAAGCATTCCATGCTAGGAAAGTAAACATTTTGAATAAAATATATGAAAAGCCTACAACTTCAATCAGATAATGTCTCTGACTTCTGTCTTAAAATGGATGTTTCTAGAAGTTGTGCAGGTACACACAAGCTACCCTTAAGTAATCTCCTTTGTTCCCATGGCTTTAAGTATCTTTTGTGTGCTGTTATACTTGTAAACGTGTATATAAGACTCAAATTTCTTTTCTGATCTTTCAATTCCCATTACCTTTTGATACAGTTGACCATTTGCTCCCTTTAGAAATGCTCTTTTCCCCTGACTTCTGTGACACTACCTTTTGGTGATTTTGCTTCTGTGTCTTTCTGGTCATCACACAGTCTTCTATAAAAGCTCATTTTATTCTATGCAGCAGGTATCAGGACACAATTCTGACACGTTCTTCTTTGACTAGCAATATTCTTAATGTTCATGGTATTATTTACTACCCAGCTACTGGATAGTGAGTCTAAAATAGACTTTTCTTCTGAGTTGGATGCATGTATTAAACTGCATCCCTGACTTCTACTCTTATATCCCCCAGACATTCAAATTAACACGTTCAATGTAGACCTAGACCCTCCCGAAACCTGAGAGTTAATATTTACGTCTTCTACAACTTCACACACCTCCTCATTCCATTCTATCACTAAATGTTGTTAATGTGACCTATAAAATATATCTTGGGGTGCCTGAGTGGCTCAGTCGGTTTAGCATCCAACTTTTGATGTCAGCTCAGGTCATGATCTCATGGTTGTGAGATTGAGCCCCACGTTGGGCTCCACACTGGGCATGGGGCCTGCCTAAGATTCCTTCTCTCCCTCTCTCTCTCCCTCTGCCTCTCCCTTGCTTGAGCGCTCTCTCCCTCCCTCCCTCTCTCTTTCTTTCTCAATAAATAAATAAATAAATAAATAAATAAATAAATAAATAAAATATATCTTAAATTCATCCACTTTTCTCCATCCTCACTGCCACCAGACTAACCATAATGTCTCATCTGGACTCTTGCAATAGCTTCTTCTTAATTAGTCTTTTTATTTTTTTCACTACTATCCCGTCACCTCCCAGCCTCACTTATTCTATATATAGTAGTCAAGAATGATCTTTTTTTTTTTTATTTTTTTTAACGTTTATTTATTTTTGGGACAGAGAGAGACACAGCATGAACGGGGGAGGGGCAAAGAGAGGGGGAGACACAGAATCAGAAACAGGCTCCAGGCTCCGAGCCATCAGCCCAGAGCCTGACGTGGGGCTCGAACTCACGGACCGCGAGATCGTGACCTGAGCTGAAGTCGGACGCTTAACCGACTGCGCCACCCAGGCGCCCCAAGAATGATCTTTTAAAAACATAAATCAATAGTTTAATCTCACAGGGCTTCCCACTGTCTCTGAGATAAAGTCCACATTCCTCTCCATGGCCTGTAAGACCTGCGTATTCTGGTCCCTGCCTACATATCCAGACTTCTCTTTAAACCACTTTTCCCTGGGCTCGCTCATCACACGGGTCTGCATTAAGTTATTTGAATGTACAAACTCTTCACATTTGGGGTCCTTTACACATGCTCCTTAAACTACCCAGTACTCTTACCCATTGTCACCTGGCTGACTCGTTATTCTTTAGATCTCTGCCTGTATGTTGCCTTCACAGATTGCCCTTGTTTTGACTACCCAAACTGATTTCCATCACTATTTCTTTTTTTAATTGAAATATATTTGACACATAACACTGTATACATTTAAGGTATACGACATGTTAATGTGATACCTTTATATATCATGATTGCCATTGTAACAATAATTAGCACCTCTATCAGGTCACATAATTAGCAATTCATCTTAGTCCTCCACTATTTCTTTATCATGTACCATGTTTTTTCTTCATAGCCTTTAACAGAACATTTTGTCATCTTATTTGTTTACATGTTATGGTCTGCATTTCTCCAGTATATTGTTAGCAACATGAGGACAGAGGTCTTGTTTGTCTCCTTCTCTACTGAGTATCCAGAGCCTAACACAATTCTTGGCAAATGTTAATATTTAAGAAATGTTTTTGTAATGAATGAGTAACTGAAGGTATCACAGGCTCTTAATAAATTGATTGTACTTCAGTGTATTTTGGCCACTTTCCCATTTGTCTTTAAAAGGTAAATTTATTCATGTTAATTACTGGGATCACCTAATCCTCAAGACATTTATGTGACAGATTTAATTCTCAGATCGTTTTTTGTGCTTTTGCCAGTTTTCATGTGTTGTAACTGTTAGTTACAACTTCCGTTGATAATTTCTTTCAGGGAGAACCAGGTAGTATAATTATGTCATCGCTGCCAGGACCAAAGGGTAATCCAGGATATCCAGGTCCTCCTGGAATACAAGTAAGCATCCAGTGATTTTCTTCTTTACTGATTAAATACAATCACAGCATCAGTTTTTCCTCTTCAGCCTTTAGTACCCTCTTTTTTAGTTACAGAAATCATCATCTGAAGTTTGATAGACGTCGCATATACCTCATACCTGAAAATGAAAGTAATCTAGAGAGTTTTATAAAGGACTGTTTTGTTATTTTATCTTTCTATCCGGTTTCCATGGAAATTTTTGTTTTTGGGTTTGACAGCGGAAATAGGCTTCTGTATTCTTATTCTTGTGCTGTGAGGATCAGTAAGTAGTAGGGGTAGTCCTGATAATTGTAAATGGCCTGATTGAAAATACAAATCATAGGTCTCCCATTTACGATATTAGAAGACATCATTTGTAACACTATTAGTTATGCATAACACATGAACATGTTTTGAAGCCTGAAGGAATAAAATTTATGCATAGTGAACATCAAGCATAATTTTAAGAAAATAAGTTATTTTAGTCTATAGATAACACACATAGAAATAGCAATATTTTTCAAGTATTTATAGATCAGGTAGTCAATTTCTTGAGGTTTGTATTTCACAAGGATTGATCCCTTTGCCAAAATAATCAGTATTTTCTAATATTTGATTACTAAGATGTAATGTCGGGCACTTTTTTCAGTAACTGCCATCTCATTCCATGCTTGACATCACCCATCCATGTGCTCTTAAGAACTCTCAGTGTTGCCCTTTGTCTCTTATAAATTTTTGTTATGTAATATTTGAAAATGCAGCAGAATACATTCAAAATATATGTATGTTATGAAGCATAACTACCAAATGAACACCTATGATCCCAAAATAGCATTTGAGAGCTAGAACATTTCAAATAATTGTGAATCAGCGTGTGGTTCCCTTGGGACTCACATCTTTCTGCATTCTACTAAGACATAAGTACCATTTTGAGTTTTCTATTACTTCTTAAAGATAGTTTTATTTTATATATGTATATCTCTAAGCAAGAGTGTTTAATTTTGCTTGAAAATAATATAACATTTATGTAGTTTTCTCCAACTTTTTCTATTTGATATGTTAAGATACATCCAAATTACTGTCTGTGGCTATAGTTCATTCAGTTTTACTTCCCTATAACATTCCATTGTATGAATATACTACAGTTCGTTTCTCCAGCCTCCTATTATTGAATATTTGGTTGTTTTGGGATTTTTTTAAATTACAGAATAATCCAGGATTTACACCTAGATATAGAATTGCTGGAGTTCACTGAAGTCAAATTTTCAGCTTTTCAAGATGCCAAATTGTGTTCCACAATAGTTACATCATTCCCTTATCTGTTGTTCCAGTTATTCTCACTTCCTTCCTTGTATTCAATCTTATTTATTTTTAATTTAATTTAATTTAATTTTTTGCATCTCTTAAAAATCTTTAATTTTTTTAATTTATTATTAAATTTTTTATTAACATACAGTGTTATATTAGTTCCAGGTGTACAATATAATGATTCAACTGTACATTACTCAGTGCTTATCACAATCAATAAGTGTTCTCTTAATCCCCTTCACTTATTTCACCCATCACCCCATGTACCTCCCCTCTGGCACCACCAGTTCTCTTTATTTAAGACTCTGCCTTTTTGTTTATCTCTTTTCTTTGTTTTGTTCCTTAAATTCTACATATGACTGAAATCCTATGGTATTTATCTTTCTCTGACTAACTTATTTACTTAGCATTATACCCTGTAGATCTATCTGTGTTGTTGCAAATGGCAAGATTTCATTCCTTTTATGACTGAGGAATATTCCTCTGTGTGTGTGTGTGTGTGTGTGTGTGTACCACATCTTCTTTATCCATTCATCTATAGATGGACATGGGTTATTTCCATATCTTGGCTATTATAAATAATGCTGCAGTAAACATGGGAGTGCATATACCTTTTCAAATTAGTGTTTTCATTTTCTTTGGGTAAATACATAGTTATTTTTTCCTTTAAAATAGAGAGGCTACCTTGAAACTGGTAGCCCTTCCTTTCCCATTTCTAGCATAAAAGCCCCACTATAAATGCCCATCTTTATAACTTTATTTTGTAAAACTTCCTTACAGTGTATCTGTCCTACATTTGTTATCTACCACTGTAAAACAGAATTTTTCTAAAAGCTGCATCCATTCTGTTTAGTTAATTTCTTTGTAGTTAATCCTTTTATTCTTATACATTTTAAAATTCTGCTTATAATACTGCAGAATTATAGAATTGTATAAGCAATTTGTGGCAGTTATTTAAGTATAAATCTCATTTAGTGTAGTTCTTTGTGTGATATAATGAGGGTTTTTTTTTTTTCATCCTTTTCTTCACTTCCTTTATAACAGGGCCCAGCTGGTCCCACTGGTTTACCAGGGCCAATTGGTCCCCCAGGACCACCAGGTTTGATGGTAAGTTTGCTTCTGGAATTTCATTTCTCCTACTTTAAAAAACTTCTTATAGGAATACTAATATTGTTTCTGTTACTTGAAAGTAGAATGCATTGTCAATGCCTATAATATATATTATATTATTATATTATATTATATTATATTATATTATATTATATTATTATTATATTATTATATTATATTATATATATATTATATATATATTATTTACAGGATATTTTACAATGTTATGGTGAACAATATATGTGCTAGGTAATAGTTCCATTTTCTAGATGGAGAAAAATGAGGTACACAAAAGAAAAGATTTATTTTATTTTATTTTTTAATATATGAAATTTATTGTCAAAT